ACAACATGCTGCTCGGGATGGATGGCGTGTGCAAGCTTTCCGACTTTGGCTCCACCATTTCTGAGGCGGCTGACATGGCGCGGACAATGGTGGATGAGGTGATGCTGCGTGGGACGGCACTCTACATGGCTCCCGAGGTGGCGAGTGGGGGTCGTTGCACGCCCCAGTCGGACATTTTTTCGCTGGGGATTTCACTGCTAGAGATGCTGCTTGGGCGTCTGCCGTGGAAGTGGAGCCGTACTGCGCCAGAGGGGAGCGATGCGGCGTCACTGCAGGCCCTTTTTAACCGCGACCTTCTCTTTGTGCAGAGTCTTGCCCGCGGATACCTGGAGCCGGAGATGCCAGACTTTCTTGACTTTGAGGTGGCCCATTTTGTTCGCTCCTGCTGTCACCCCAACCCTGCCATGCGACCGTCAGCCTCTGCTCTGCTCTCATATTCCTTCCTGTTGTGATGTCGATGTTTTTCGAATAACCCACTTGTATTACGCGTCACTTGTTTTGTTGGTAAGTAGGCATATGTATGTGTATGTATCGGCGTCTCCTGTGCCGCAATCTATGAGTTCTATTGTTTTTTTTTTTTCTAGAGCTGCGGTACTGTTCTGTTCTTTTTTTTCCTTTGCGTGGTTATGTTGTTTCCTGTATCCCTTTATATATATTTCGTGTTCATTTTTTTACTAGTTGAATCCAATCAGTTGTTTGGGATGTTTCTGTTATTATTATTAGTATTATACTTGCAGATTTTTTTCTTGTGTGTGGCGGTCGGAGAGGAAGGATTTTTATTGGCCTTAGTTGTGCCCTCCGGAGAGGACGTGTCTTCTCGGATGTACAGGGGGCTGCTGCGCGTAACCGTGCGTGCATCGCTCTGCCCTTTTTTTTTTCTTTGCGACCCGTATAATACTTGTCTTGGCGGTGCGATGTGGCGTAGCGGGGATGAGTGCAGTAGGTTGCGCGATGTCTTCTGCCGCAGTTACTTTTCGATGTTTGTTGTTGTTATCTTCGCTGTTTTTGGTGGGGATGCCAGGTAGAGTTATATCTGCGTTTTGAAGCTCCCTGCGGGTGATGTTAGGGCCCTCGGCGACCGCCTCTCGTACGGTGCTGCGGGCCTCCGCTGCTGTCGGGGGTCGAGGGAGGGAAGCACCCACTCGGTGCTCCTTCGCTTTTTGCATCGGTGAATGTTTTTTCACCTTTTTTTTTTATGAGTGTGTGAGTGTGTGTGTTTTTTTTTTTCGGCGCCACTTTTGCACCCCTGCCTTTTGGTGGAGTGACGGAGGCGCGCCAGGGCTCGTCCCTCCTCCCCCAGCCTCTACTTTGTGTGAATAACTTCGGCGAAGGCGTGACCTTTTGCTTTGACCCCTAACCTCTGTCTTTATCTGCGCGTTGAGGTCTGTCACGGCGCATTCGCCACAGCCCGTGGCGGCGCGTTCTCTAGGCTTGTTCCTTTGTTGTGTTGTTGGCCTCCCGTAGGCGGAATAATAGGAAAGAGCAGCAGCAGCAACAACAAGAAAGGGCTGCGTGCGAGGAGCGTATCCTCACATGCATGTGCCGGCAAGGAAGCAAATCTCGCAGGTTCCGAATATGCACGAGTTAGCGCAGCTGGCGGCGATGGTGCTTCAGGAGCGTTGCAGCCAACAACGTCACTTGGAGCGTGTCTGCGATACACATTTCCACAGCAGCCGGATTCCGCAGATATCTGTGATTGACTACGTTCGCCGTATTGCCAAATACTCTTGCTGCTCCCCAGAGTGCTTTGTGTTGAGCCTCATTTACATGGACCGGTATTTGTATACGACGAGATTTCCACTGACGTTTCGTAATGTTCATCGGCTGATGATAACGGCGGTGCTGGTGAGTGCAAAGCTTAGAGATGATACTTACTATACCAACACGTACTATGCAAGCCTTGGTGGCATCAGTACGGCGGAATTGAACGGGTTAGAGCTTGAATTTCTGAAGATAATTGACTGGACGACTTGGGTGGAGCCAAGTCAGTTTGAGGAATACCGTTTAGGATTACAAGCGCGTTATTCGACTTCTCAACTGTCCCCTGTGGCGGCTGGGACCTCCGAATACGGCACTAGTTCTGCGGGTGGAAAGCGGGGAACCCCACAGCGATAAGAAGGCGTCTATTTTCTTCTTTGTTTTTTCTTTTTCTTTCTGATTTCTTTGTGCTGCTTTTCTGCTACGCTCCCTCACTCCATCATGCGTATTTGCTCAGTCCCCGCGTATGAGGCATTCGCGTGCAGCATCAATGAAAATCCGGAGAATACTTTAGTTATGTGTGTGTGTGTGTGTGTGAGTGCCGTTGAATAGAGCGGGTATCCATATGTTTACGGGATTTGGAACTTCTACGTCTGCTAACCGAGGTGGTAGGAAACTTGATTCGTAACCTTTTTACTTTTATTTTTCTTCCCGTTGACGTTGTGCGTGTGAGTGTGTGTGTGTGTGTGTTTTTTTTTGTCTTTGTTACCTTCTGCTTCTTTCTTGTTCGTTTGGTGCATGGATGTAACCTGAAGGAGCCCTCTTCTACTCTGACTGGGCGTTCCTTCGAGCGTTGTCCGCGGGTTGGCCCTCCTGCATCGTGGGGGTGTCGATGGTCATGGGTTGGGTGCCCAGCTTGGGCCTCTATTGTCCTGGTTTATTGTTACGCACGGGCTTCGCCGTTTCAAGACCAACCGGTCGCACTGCGCGGCCACTCTTTACTACTATGTTGCCCAATCCCGTCTGGGTCGCTCTTTGTACACATGTTCTCTCTTGCGGGGGAGGAGCGAAGCCGGTTCCCATCGCCTTACTTCTCCTTTCCCCCACCACGCCGACGCTGCCTCACCCCCGCAGTAGCAGCAACGTGGGTGTTTGGTTTTTATGTGTGGGTGTGTGTGTGTTTTTTTTTTTGCTCTTGTTGCTCTCGGCGCTTGAGTTTGTTTCATTTTTTCCTTCTTGTCTTTTACTTTGGCCCGCATTGTTTGCGTGCCTGCTCACCCGCACACATTACACGTGTGCGTCTTTTTCTGGCCAGAAGACTATTGCATTTCCGTAGGAAATAGTCCTTTTTCGTTCTTGTGCATTCCCGCAAGTAAATAACATGCAGCTTGGGTACGGAGTACGTGGTGGGCGCGGTGGTGGGCGCGGTCGCGGCGGCAACTTTGACTACAGGGGCCGGGCGCAGCAGCAATTCATGGGAAGCAACGCGGCCACTGATACTCTCTGTGTCCGCATAAGCGATATACGCCAGCCTGTCACGGAGGACATGATGTATCGTGTGTTTGGCAGCATCTCAACCAATCCTCAACGCCTACAGATTGCTCCCTCGTCTAACCCCAACGAAACTGTCGTCATGGCCCAATTTTCCGACATGTACGCAACGCAGCGAGTGATGGAGAACCTAAATAATCGCAACATATTTAATGATGGTAACAAAATGGTGATGAATTACGCCAATTGGGAGCCCGCACCTGTATTACCGGCGCCCCAGAGCGCAGTTTACGGCGCCCCTGCGGCGGCGTACGGTGGTGTTCCGCAGCAGCCCAATATGATGTACCCACAGGTTCAGCCGCAGCCAAGCGTTTATGTTCAGCCACGTCCACAGCCGGCACAACAGGTGCCCCACGTTCCACAGCCGCAGCTGCCGCAGCCAAGGGCATCCTTTGAGGTGCCACGTGGAGGGCGTGGACGCGGGCGTGGGGGGCCTGGAGTTCCGAGGGGCGGTGGAGCGGCCATGGGCTTCGACCCGATGATGATGGGATACCCACCCATGGCCTACCAAATGATGCCTCCTATGATGCCTATGGCGGGAGGTATGATGGCGAACTACATGAATCCCAAGTCCGTGCAAAACACCCCCACCGTCTTCCTCAGCGTGACGGTGGTGCCAGAGACGGAGCCATTACAGAACATTTTTACGTTTCTTGAGACCTTTGGTGGCGTGGTGACTGTGCGCCGCAACCACAACAAGAAGGAGATTCTGACGGTGAAGATGGCCTCGATACCGGAGGCCGATAATGTTGTTCAGCACGTGCGAAAGGTGCCGTTTGCCGGGGGCACGGTGAGTGCAAAGCGTTTTCCCACCTACAATGAGCGGACACCATGCACCGACGACGGAGATCCGTTGGACGCCGCGACCCTGCAGTATGACTTCACAACCGCACGCCACCGTAGCCCTGGGCAGCGTAGTAAGTGTAACCCCTCGAATGTGCTGAAGGTCACCGGATGCGCGGGGTACTCGGAGGCGGATGTAATGACGTACTTTACCAGCGAGAATTTCTTCCCTGACCGCATCATCAAGGATGACGAAGGGGCGTTTACTGTTTACATGGCGGACACAGCCACGGCTGTGGCACTACTCGTGAAGTGTCACAACAGCGTCTGTGGAGAGGAGCGCTCCAACGTTCTCTTTATTGAGGGACCCAAAGACAATAACAGCAACCACATTGAGCAGAGCGTAGAGGACAACGCCGAAAAGAGTTAAGTCAAATGAAGCCTGTGCAAGCCATTAGGAGACATACACGTACTGGATTACTTTGTGGCCCAGCCTCGCGTTCTCTGCCGCCCCATAGAGGGGGCGCGTATAGCTGCGTCTACGTCCGCATGTTGTACATGTGCACGCGAGAACGCCTTGCATCGTATCCATGCGTAGAGGATATAAATAACACTGACGATGAGAAGAGCCCCTCAGAGGGAATAAAGGAGGATGCAAAAGGAGTAAGATACGTAATGAGCAACGAAAACAGAAAAGGGCAAAAAAAAAAAGAAGGGGGAAAAAAGAGCAACGTAGACGCAAACCAGCAATGGGGGAAGCGTTCTAGGGAGCTATATGAAAAGGAAGAGGGGGAAAAGAGAGGTGAACGAAAAAGAGGTGGCGCTGCGGAGAAATATCTGCGTGCGCGGGGTGAAGAGCCGTTTTTGTTTGTTTGTTTGTTTTCCCCGCCACAAGGCGGGGGCCACGTTCCCCCTCTGTTTGCGCTACTTCTCAACAACGTCATCGGTGGTTCCTTTTTTCGTGTCTTTTTTGTTTTGTTTTTCTTCTGCGATATCCATTCATGTTTCTTTTACTGTCCTTTAACTCCTTTTCGATTGACTTCCATTTCTCCTTTTCTTTTTTCTTTTTCTTTGCCTCTCTCCCTTATGCCGTTCCGTTTTTGTTTTGTTTTTGGAACGACTGCTGTTGCCCCCTACTTCGCTTAATCTCATCATTTGACTTTCCACTTATCGTGAGTGTCAGGGGTGCCTTTGCGGCATCATTTTCGTTTTCTCGCTTGGCTTCTCGCCCCTGCGGAGGGGGGTGGGTGACAGAAGCCGACTAACGTTTCCTTTCGCTGGGGCGGCAGAGGCTGGAGCACGGCGCGAAGGGAGGAGTCCCTGGCCGACTTGTACTTGAGTTGTCTCCTCACACAGCACCACACACGTTTACAGTACGTTCTACGATAACTCGCGCGCATACGTAAGACATTTGTATCGAGTCGACGAGTCGCTGCTCGTCCTTGTGTTTTTTTGTTTTGTTTGTTGCTGTGGTTTGTGCCTTGTTTTATAGCTCTAGTCTTCATTGTCCCGGCATGAATTCGGCTGCATTTCGTTCTTTCTTGCGGCGTGGGATAATTCCCGAAGGTGCATCTTCGGTCGCCATTGCGGTGTTGGTGTATACATATGTACTCTGTGGTGTATGTGTGTGTGAAGCTCTCGACACCCCTGCGCCTTAAATTCCCACAGCGGAGCGATGGTGATTGTCTTCGTTTGAACTTAAGTTTGGAGGTACGCTGAGTCGCCTGTTTGCTCTGATGTGTTGAGTCGCGAGAATACTCCCGGCACGGGATTTCCATGCCTCATTGGTTGCTTTATTTATTATCGTTGGTGTGAATGAATCTTTTCTCGTGCGTCTTACGTTTCTTCCTCGTTGGTGGCCTCTGTGGCTTCGCTCAGCACTTGGTCCGCGGCAGCTTCACGGGGCAACACGGTTCATAGTGGCGCCCCCTGTGTTTTTATTTTATTTTATTGTCTCTTCCCGGCATATTTGATCTTGGCGACGTTGGGGAGTGTCTCGGTGAGAAACACTCTACGACCCCCCCCCCCCTCCCCTCCCCTGGTGTCATGTGGCGTTCCCGCTGCATGGCGCGGTGGCACCCCGCAGCTTTGTTGTTACCGCTGCGGACCAGCGAGAGGCGACGTGTGCGCCCCCCACGCTTCTCGCACCACTTATCATCTGATGTCACTTGTGTCCTTCCTCTTCCCATTTTCCCCTGAGTCTCCTCATCTGCGTGAATGTGTGCGGACGCGCATTCACGGGTCCTAGGCAGGCAGCCAGAAGTCTCGTCGTCGTCGGTCAGCGCCAGCGCGTGTGGAGGGAGAAGATGACGCCTTTGTGAGGTGCACTTCTCCTTTTTTTTTCCGCGCCTCTTGTTGGCTTTGCGGACTCCTCGCAGATGTGTGTGCGTGTGTCTCTGCTTCTTTGTTTGTTTGCTTGTGTTTTTCTTTTTTTTTTCACGGGAAGGCGCGACGACGTCCCGGTCTCTCCTCTCCGTCTGCGGGGGGCAGGCAGGGAGGCGCCTTGGCGGGGCCACCGCCCTCACGTTGTTAAGTGCACACACACATATTTTTGTTATTTTTTCCTTTTTTTTTACTTTTCTTCTTTTTTGACTCCCCGCGGCGGCTGTTGTCACGCGCCACACACGCCCTCTCGCCGCACGGTGTCGGTCTTCCAGCGACGCGTATTCACAAACACACGCACAGGCGCGCGGTGAAGCAAAAGCGGCGAACGAAGCGAAGCGGACGGGTGCCTCGTGGCTGACGGTGAGACAAACGAAGCAGAGGAAGAAGGAAAAAAAAAAAGAAAAAACACAAGGCTAATTCGGGCCCACAAACGACCTCAAGGAAGAAGCGCGAAGTAAAGAAGACGTGGCTGCGTAAGTGTTAACAGGAAAAATAAGAAGAAAGAAGAAGAAGCGGGAGGAAGCAAAAAAAAAAAAGAGAGACAAAAAGATTCCCTAAAGAAGGAGATCCACGGAGAGAATATTTAAAAAGTAACGGAAACAAGTAGACCGGCTTCCCCCCAGTGGATCAGAGGGTAACGGGCTCATAGTTCACTGCGTCCAACTAGGCCAGTCCCGTTGTCGGTGAAAACAGCAGCACTAACCGCAGCAACTTGGAAGACAGAGCAAGAGCGGAAAGGGATATTGTACCAGGAGAAGGAAAGGCAAAAAAAAAAAATACGCAAAACTCGAGAGGAAAGGGGAGGTGAGGAAGACTGAACCTGTGATCCACGCATTTTCCCCGATATCTACAGGTTTCCTTCACTGTCGTTTATTTGGGACATCCCAGGGGCGCCAAAAAGGACGGGCGGAGAGGAATCAACGTGAGAAGAGGCGAGGAAAAGGTTGCGTCTGGCGGAGGTGAAAAGAAGAGGGTGGGTTACAGGAGCTCAGGTGAGAGGAAAATATATTTAATTTAACGAGAAAACAAAAACAAAAACCCAAACGAGGCGACATAAACGACGATGATGTCTGTGGTCTTGAAGAATATACCTCCCCAATGCCATGAAGATGACCTTCGCCGGGCGTTGCTCATCTATGGCACAGCCGTGAGCACGGCAATTTCCCCTCATATGCGTCAGGCGACTGTGACGATGCGAACGCCGCAAGAGGCACGGTCTCTTCTTCATCAGGGATGCATCAATCTTTTTGGCCAAAATGTGACGGTGGAACCAGCGCCTTATGGCAGCAACGGTGTTGCGCCGGCAATGATGGCCCCGCACCTCGGTGCAACACGGATCAATGTTGTGGTGGAAAAATGTACATATCCGGTGACGAAGGAGATATTGACCCAAGTCTTTGGGATGGTGGCCCCACCTCTAAACGTTGTCTGTGGCCCTTCTGGCCCCACCACCACAGGCTGGGTGGATTACTCCGATGCCGCCACAGCTCGACGAGTGATGCAGCAACTAAATAAGAATTCGATTTATCCTGAATGTTGTTTTATGTCTTTAACACTTGATCGTGGCGGTGTTGGTGTCCCTACGATGGGAGGATATGCCACTACTCCATTGCCGTACCCACAAAAACAAAGCCCTCAGCAACCACCAATGCCACCACAGCAACCGATGCCGTTTGGTCATGCAAACTACGGGGCTATGCCTGGTTCTTTAATCCCGCGGGGTGGAATGGGTGGCCGTGGCCGTGGCCGTGGTGGTGGAATGGGACGCTACGGCCCCCCATATGCTGCCGGTGGCCCAATGGCACATCCCCCATACGCTGTCGCTGGTGCCCCGTACGCCCAGCCTCCCACCGATGCTGTGGTCATTGTCAGCAACATGCCAGAAACGGTTGCCCTTCATGATTTGTGGGTTCTTCTTGAGGTATACGGTAATGTGAATTCACTCAAGCGTCAATTCAGTTCAAAGACTACCGTTGTTGCGCATTTTCAAAACGTCTACGACGCTCGTCTTGCCGTTCAGTATCTGCAAGGATGCCCATTTCATGGTGCCACGCTTTCACTGAAGCATTTTGCTGGTTACGTAGAACGTGGTGGAAGGACCGAGTGGAACAGTGGCCCAGCGACGGACCCCGCCACACATGCCGTGCTCTTTTCAAGTGGGTACCATCACCGAACAAAACCGACCGCCGCTTTTAACCCTACCGGACGCGTCCGTCCAGGGAAAAATCTGTTCATCTCCAATCTTACCGAAGCCATCACGGATGACGATATTAAGGAGGTGTTCACCAAGGCCGGATTTGAACTGGATGGCTATTACCGCAAGAATTCAACCGTCGCTATTGTTAGCTTGAGAGATATAGAAACCGCAGTACAGGCCCTGATCTCGGTGCACTCCCAGCAGCTGAAGGAGCGCTTCCTACGTGTGACATTTTCGCACTTTCCACCGGGCCCACGCAGCAGCGGCGAAGAGGAAACTGAAGCCTCTCCAGCTGAGGTGAAGGAACCGGCTGCGGAGGACCCAGCTGCAGAGAATGAGGCGGGCAAATTGAATGAGCCTAGCAATGGTTGCGGTTTCGCTAAGAAATGAAATAATACGTTGCATAATACAAACGATACTCCTATTCCCCTCTTTTTTCCCCCCCCCTTTTTCTTTTTTAAATGCTTCTATTCATTCGCCGTTATTTGAAGAGGGGATGCGTCTGGCTACGACTGTGAATTGTATGGCACACAATGGGTGGTGGTGGTGTTTGATCACTTTCGTTTCATTTCTTTGATGCTCGTCGTTTTTTTTTGTTTGCTTCTTGTAGTTTTTTGTTACTTTGCGCTTTTTTTTGTTCTGTGTTGTTCTCAGTACTTTCGCTCTGGTTTTTGTTTTATACAAATGTCCGCGTTTTCCTAGTTTTAAAAGGCCCTTCTCGACGTCCCGTACTTCTGCTCTCCGGGAAGGGCGACGTAAGAAGGAGGGACGGGGCTGGGCGGTTCTCTGTCTGTGGGCGTGTGTCTGTCCGTAGTGGGAGCAGTAGACGATGGATCCTTGGCAGCCGTCACTGCCCGGCGCAGGCGCTCAGCGTGCTGTTTTGATCCTGCAATTGTACATGCGGATGGGGCACTACAGCCCGCTTTCCATTCTGGTGGCAGACACTCTGTGTCTAACGTTCAAGGCTGGCGGGGCAACGCTGAGTGAGCTTGGCGCGTACTTGGGACTTCCGCCGGATCGTGTGGAGATCGGCATTGAAGGGATGCCAAAGGAGTTGTACTGCACCTCCGCTGAGCTCCGTCAGGACGATACAATTGGGGAGTATGGGGGCAAAAGCAGCAGCAAAAAAAGAAGCCGTCAAGAGGCCACCGAGGAGAGCACACTTCGCTATTATATTAATTATGCCACATTGTTGCCGTTTGCGTTTGCCCACGGCAGTCACATCCTTTTGGCGCTTTGTCAGTTGCCTCTTCCACAGTATGCGACCAACGACGACATAAGTGGTGAACACGTTTCCCTGAATGTGTCAGCCACACTTCGACGCTCAGATTCTCGACGAGGGCTTTGCTGTGTTTCTTGTCGCTACTGGATGGCACTAAAGGACTTGCGTTCGACCATCTCACGTTGCCCGCTTTGTCACACAGATGTACTGGGCGCCGTGCTGCGCGCCATATATGCCCGCTATGAAGAGAAGCTGGCGAGTGGACAGTCGTTGCTTTCTTTTGGCCCCGTCCAGCAGCGCCCCAGCACACCAGCAACAACGACGGCAACCGGCAAGAACGGCAACAGTGGCGGCAGGTCGATGGAGGCGGTCCAAGGCGATTCCTCTAAAATACCTCTTGCTGAAGCTGCAGACTACCCACTAGCACGCGATCCTTTCCTTGTGCAACAGGGGCTGTTTTTTCGGTTTCTTTACGCACATCCATTTGTTCGTGTCAACGATGCCGCGTTTGTGGTGGATGAAGATGAGGTGATGACGAAGGAGGAGTACGACCACCGATCCAAGCATCGGGCCACGGTGCTTGATCAGTTTCGCCTTGTGCACCGTAACGCGGCGGCTATTAGGGTGAAACGTGTGGATCAACAAAGACTGGACGCCGAAAAAGTCAGGGAAAGTGTTATGAAGGTAATGAAACGTGGCCAGCTTCCCCCCTGGTTGCGACCCGTGTTTGTCTTCCAGGAGGGCGAAGATCTAGTGCCGCCAGCGACACGGAAGGAACAACCCTTCTCCGATAGCGCAGATTCCACAACACCGAAGGAGAAACGCGACGCTGACATTACCGCTACCGCAAGATACACTGCAAGGGAGTTTTTTGATGACGACTATGATGAGGTGCCGCTTTGTAAACCGTCCACAGGGTGAATATACTTTTCTCCTCTCTCATGGTGTACCTCGTCTGCTGTTTGGAGGCGGAATCCGGTGGGTAGATAGTTTGCTCCTACCCAGCGCGGCATTGTCTCTGTGTTTCTCAATTGCTATATATATATATATATATATGTCTCTGTTTGTGTGCTACAAGCCAGAGGACTCTGCTAATAGATGTATATATTTTTGGTTTTCCCTCATTTGTTTGGAGTTGTTTGGCCCTTTTTTTTTTTTATGCTGTTGCAACTTGGTATTCCATAGAGGCCATAATAATAATAATAATAATAATAGTGGGAGAAGGGGTGTTTGAGGACTACGTCTTAGTTTTCCCTTTTTCATTCGGCCACCGGGCACATTTATCTTGCCCCCTCCCCCACTTCTTCCACCTTCTCCCACCCTCTTTGGGTCTGTGGAGAGATGAGCCTCATCACTCCCCCGGTTCTGTCAAGCAGCGAGGCGGCGATATACCGTAACGGCGACAGCGGGTTTGTGTTGAAAACGGCTTCTGGCGTTTCGTCTACGTCGCCGTGTGAAGATGACTGGCGTGATTTCACCGATATGTTGCGGACATTGGCGCACGACAAAGTATTACTTCTCAGCATTTTGCATGGTGTCCCGGCGGAGGAGCAGGACACTTTAGCCGAGCTTCTGGAGCACGTTCTTTGGGTTGCGAGTGAGGTCGCCCCGGTAGAAGCCTCGCAAATTTTGTCGACACTTCTTCTGTTAGAGTTTTATCATGCCTCGCAGAAACGGAACGATGTCCATACCTTTATGCGAGGAAATGGTGTGGTGCCCAAGGTGTTTGAGGGTCTTCTGGCCCGAGTGGTAAGTAGTGAGGGTGGAATTGAGGGGCAGCTGCTGCGGTGCTGTAGCATTTTGCATGCAGACGGCGCTGCGCCTGCCGTGGCGGAGGGTGACGTTAGTCTTTCGGAGGCCGACACTGATACCGTGAGGTCTGGTGAAGTCGTGTCTTCTCGATGCCTCCTTGAAGGGCTTGACTATTTTAACGGGTCGACGACCTTGTTATCAGGCGTTGACAAGGGCATTGCCCGCCATCAGGATAGTTACGTGTCTACCATTGGGGGAATGTCATGCCGTATTCTGAACGTCGTCTACGCCTCTGTGAGCCAATGGCCATGGAGCTTGCGAGAGTCCCTGCGATGCCTCTTGAACACTGTTGGCGCGGCTTCCCAAGATCATGTGCAGCCCGGGCATCGAGGTTGTAGCCTGGAAACGTTGACTATTTTGCAGCAGAATATGATGGCAACGATCGTGGTTCTTCGAGCGGTCGTGCCAACCCTAATAAATATCGTCTCCCGTTTACTCCCAGAAGAGAGCTGTTTTGACACACATTACACCTTGGTGCAAAAACGCTGCACCATGTTGGCGAAGTTGGCGCAGAAGGCGGCTCATGGCTTATTGTTTAGTGGCCCACATGAAACAGAGATGGCTGCCTTTAACAACGAGCTACCGGCGCTTACGCAGCGGTGGGCCGAGGTGTTTTTGTATTTGTGCCATAAAACGGATCCACCAAGTCCACGTCATGACGGCGATCTGGTGGCCTCTGAGGCCGAGGCTGGACTGCGGTTTTGTGAATTTCTGGATCATTATTTTGTCCGCTTGCTGCACTGGGTGATGCAGCACAAGCCAATCATGGAACCGATTTATTGGAGCCGGCTCTTGTGCCTTACTCGTTACGCCCAACGACGTTTGGGGCGTGTGGGTCACTTTGCTTCAGTTCCACTCCCGTCCAGCGTGACATTTCCTGTCGTGGGGGAGGGTTCTGTGTTTTCCAGGATGCTAAGACCCGTGCTCGGTTTTCTGTCACGTGTTGGTCGTTCCCGACATCCCTCTGGCGCGCAAACTGCGAGCCGTAACGCGGTGAGTTCACCGGCTGAAGTGATCTTCGACGAGCTGGTCGCATACGCCCTGGGCATGATTGATGACCCGGGGGCAACAGGAGTGCATGCCTGCTTTTGCGGCATTTTTGGCCTTGCCTGCGATGGAACCGTTGGCATTTTCATTTACTGGGATCTATTGCGTCTGTACCTCGAGGAGTACCAAGCAAGGAAGGGAGTCGAGTTGCAGCGGCGATGCCCACGGTTTTGTGGCCACTGGAAGGACTCGGTGCTTCAATTTGGTGACTCTCTCGCTTACCTTTTTGTTTTTATCAGCCTGGCGTTGTCAAGCAAAGACAACAAAGGATTTCGACTCTTTGTTCTGGCTGCCAAACCCTCAATGTGTTGTTCGTGGTTGGGGGACGCACTCCGGTTGTTACCTACCAGATACGCAAGACAGTGCGCCCATGTGCTTTTACTAAACCCAGCGGATGTGCACTTGTTGCACACTCATCGTGTGCGCCACTTCTTCGAGCTCACCGTGTGCCGACGGGCGAGGGACTTGCTACGGACCTTGGAGGAACTGCGCCTTCACCTGCCCCTTCGTTGCATGGAGTACCACACACTGTTAGTCACCGAGGCGGGGGAGAGTGACCAAACTTTTAGGCTACTCTTTCCTCCTCCCCCCTGTGTGGAGCCAAACGGAGTAGGCCAGAATGGGTTTGTTACATCTGCTGCGTCCGTCTTGCACGCATCGTTGGAGGCCCATTTATGGCCGCTGTCGCTGATGTGGGACGTGTTCACACTGATTCAATCCGCCATTGCTCCCCCGGAGGTCTTATCCTTGTCAGCAATGACGAGTGGAGTTGAAAATGGCGCGGGTATGCGTCCACTGCCGAAACTTCCTAAATATTCCTTGAGTCTCTGGCGCATGCATGCGGTGAAATTTTTCTTCAATTTTGAAGGGGACTTACTGTTACATTTGGAGATCGAACCCAAGTGGCTGCGGGAGACAAGTTCCCCGGGCCACGACACCGCTCAGCCCCCGCTGCGAGCGTCCCAGCAGAAGGAAGACCGGTATTGCTGCTCCTGGTTCTCCCTGTCTCACGCGGGGGAAACCGAGGAGGAGATGTCTGAGAGTTGCCTTCTCCGTGTCCTTTTTTTGGCCTCGCGGCGGTGTTGTGCAGGCGGCGGCCTGCAATTAACTGATCGGTCCAGTGAGGTGGGGCTCTGGCCGAGTATTGTTCCAAGCCTGCGACACACGACATTAGAGTCGCTTTGGCGGCTTTTGCTATATAGTTTGTGGAATACATTTGCGTTGGTGCGTCATGTCTCGCCGGCGCGTTGTCCCGTAACACGCGTAACACAGGCGGTGAGGGCTTATCTGGGGCGTTCCCCCCAGCCGGCGCCTATAGCTGACAATCTTCATCTTTTTGACGATGATACAGCCTTGTTGAACATGGCCGCGACGGCGCTTCTCGCTGCGCCTGCGGCCGAGTGCGGGATTCTCCAGCTGCTTGTAGAAATTTGTGCGTTTATCCGCAAGATCGATTTGGCAGAGCTTGACTCCGCTGCCGTTAAGCATGACGGTGCGAAGGCTGCGTGGGGAAATGTCATGACCGATGGGGTCATCCGTATTGTGTTCCGCAAGGAGGAGCTTGATGACGCTGAACTTCTGGGCGCACACCTGATTGCGACCCAGGGAGCGGCTCTTTTATTATCCGCTTGCGTTTCGCCTCCTACTGGAGGCGTTTTTACCTGAGCTCAGTTGCTTGTACCCGTGGCGTTGGCCGACGGCATGCATTTGAAAGGCGCAGTAAGAAGGGGCCGCATCACCAACGACAAGGAGACTTGTAACTGGCGGGCCCACAGTTAACTGCAACCTCTCCTTTGTGGTGGTCACCTTGGCTGGGGAATCTTGCAATACCCTCCCTCATACACGGACGGCTCCCCCACCTTTTCTACGTTGTGTGTGTGTGTGTGTGTGTGTGTTCAACCGTTCTTCTTTGCGCGGCACCGATTTTATTATTACAGTTGCGATGACTATTGTCATTGTACGTTGTATATGCGTGTGTATTTAGTCCAGGCGTTTTATTTATTGACTTATTATTTATTTATTATTTATTTATTTAATTTGTTATTGTTATTATTATTTTGAGAGCTTACAAGAACCGTCTTCTGTCCCCCCCCCCCCGGGAGTCTGGCAAATATGCCCAACGGTGCATTTTCCTCTCTCAATGCTGCGCGGTGGCGGTCGTCGCAAAGGCTAATTCTTTGAAAGCCCATCCCAATCCCCCCCGACCTCCGCGGGGGCGGGGCGGCGGCACTTGCAGCAGCTACCCCTCACTGTCGCCGCGCAGTACTTAGAGAGAATGCGTAGTCGTCTGTGACACTCTCGCTATTGGCTACTGCATGAAGGTATACACGTGGTCATTACAGGGAATACGGAGGGGTATAGATTCTGCTTCCTTTCCTCGTTTTTTTCTTTTTGCGTCACTCCTTCTACTGGGAAGAAAAAATAGGGCACATGCTATTATGTACGCATGTATGTATTTATTTGCATAGTGGCACCATCGGATGCTTTATTTTTATTATTTTTATTTTATTTATTTTGCTGGAAGTCTGTTTTCCCGTGAAGGTATTCGCTGTGCGTGGCGCGGGGTGGCTGCTTTCTCTCTCCCTCTCTTACTCTCTCTGCTGTTCGTTGTTTCTGGCGGCGCGTGCTGCACGGGCAGCTGCCAACTTAGTATCGGTCACGGGCACAATGAGCGCTGTGGAGGCTTTTGTTCTGCAGGCGCTGGCGTCGGCGGATGCTGTCGCATCCGACAAGCTGGCGGAGACGCTGCGGGTCAACCACCAGGACGTCGTGGGTGCCATCAAGTCGTTGGAGTCGGACGGCTACGTCGTGTGCGAAATGAAAACAAGGCCAACGTGGAAGCTGACAAGCGAGGCCGTGAAGATATGCGAGGGCGGCAGCCCCGAGTTCCTCCTCTGGGAGTTGCTGGCGGAGGGTGCGATGCCGCGGGCCGACGTCGCAGCGAAGTTGGGAAACGAAGCCACGGCCGTGGCGCTAGCGAATGGCATGAAGGCGAAGATCTTCACTTTAACGAAAAATGAAGGCCATGTCATCGTCGCGCGTTCCCCCGGCGTCTCCTCCTTTCACGACGGCACGCGCGTTTCCCTCACTCGGGCGTTGAAGGGCGAACACGTCGATCCGAAGGACGCGGAGACGCTGAAAAAGCGCAAGCTGGCGACGCTCGACAACGTGAAGGTCTTCTCTGTGACCAAGGGCCCAAACTACGCGGCAAAACGACGGGCGAAGGCGGTGGGGGATCTTACGAAGGAAATGCTGCAGGATGGCTCATGGAAGACGACCGAGTTTAAGGAGTATAACTTGGATGCGGCGGGCCGAGAGGTGAGCTGTGGCCAGCTGCACCCGCTGCTGAAGGTGCGCCAGGAGTTTCGCGAGATATTTATGGAGCTCGGCTTTCAAGAGATGGAGACAGATCACTGGGTGGAGTCGTCCTTTTGGAACTTTGATGCCCTCTTTATTGCGCAGAATCACCCCGCCCGGGACGTGCAGGACACATTTTTCGTTTCAAAGCCTGCAACGCATGAGCTTGACCACCGCGAGGTTGTGGACCGCGTGCGTGACATGCATGAAAAGAAGTTCAAGTACACCTGGAGGGAGGAGGAGGCGCGGCGCAACCTCCTGCGCACACACACGACGTGCTGCTCGGGGTATTGGCTCCACCGAATTGCGAAGCTGTCCCCACTGCTGCCGGATGGACGTCGCGATTTCCGCCCTGGTCGCTACTACAGCATTGACCGTGTCTTTCGCAATGAGGAGATGGACCGCACACATCTTTGCGAGTTCCACCAGATTGAGGGCTGCGTCATTGACCGCAACATCTCTCTCTCGAACATGATGCACACATTTCAGCTCTTTTTTAGCCGCATTGGTGTGGAGAAGTTGCGCTTCAAGCCCGTCTTCAACCCGTACACGGAGCCCTCGATGGAGATCTTCGGCTGGCACAAGCAGCTGAGGCGGTGGATTGAGGTGGGCAACAGCGGCCTCTTCCGCCCCGAGATGCTGGTGCCGCTGGGCTTTGACGAGGACGTCACGGTGATGGCGTGGGGACTGTCGCTCGAACGGCCAACGATGATCAAGTACGGCCTGTCAAGCATCCACGAGCTCTTTGGTCACAAGGTTGACCTGCGCTTCATCAAGCGGTCTAAGCTGATGCGCTTCTAAGCTCTGGAGGGCGTTGGCGGCCAGGGGAAGAAGAAAAAAAAAACACGTTGGAAATAAATCAACCAGAAGAATTGCAGGGGGAAAAAGGCGCAAAAAAAAAACTAAATTACGAGCGAGAAGAGGCGGAGGGAAGAGAGGAGGCGACACTGCCGCGTCGCTCCACCCCACATCGCGCCTTAGCCACACGGCCGGAAAAGGGGAGAGGGAGGAAGCCGCAAAAGCGGCGGTGTGGCAATAACAAGAAGGATACGTGCAGGTAGTTGCAGATGCAAATGCAAATAATGCGACTTAAAAAGGAGGGAAAACCGCAAAAAGAAAAAAAACAGAAGAAATGACAACTACCCACACTGGTAGAGTCTTGCTTCTGAGTAGACTCTCGATTTCTGCGTCTCACGCAGGAATAATGATAAAGAATGGGAAATAAATAGAAGACACCGATGTGGTCATGCCTTATCGTCATTGTTCTAGGTGAATTTGTTTTCCCTTATTATTAGTTTTTTTTCTTTTTGTTGTTGTTGCCATTTGTTTTGCTTTCTTTGTTTCGTTTCCTGTCTTTATTGGTTCACTGGCTCTCCATTACCGTGTCTGCCGTTTTCCTCTCGCTATCGTTACTCTTTTCTTTCGTTTTTACTTTCCGTTGTGTGCCCGGTGCAGTGTGGAGGAGAAGCCCAGCGATGGTCAAGCCGCACCTTCGCCACTACTGCGTCGTCGGCCGCGAGACGCCGTCGGAGAAGAACCCCGAGCCGACCGTCTACAAGTTTGAGGTCTTTGCGCCCAACTTCGTCGTCGCCAAGAGCCGCTTCTGGCGCATGATGCGGAGCAAGAACAAGGTGAAGTCGACCCACGGCGACGTGCTCTCCTGCAAGGTGGTGAAGGACCGCAAGCTGGCGGCGCGCAACTACAGCGTCGACATCGCGTACTACAGCCAGCGTTGCGGCTACACGCACATGGTGAAGGAGTTCCGCGACGTCTGCAAGGCGGGGGCGGTGAGCCAGGCCTACCACGACCTCGCCTCCCGCCACCGGGCGCGGTACAGCAACATTGAGGTGCTCGGCGTGAAGAGCATCCCGAACCACCAGGTGAAGCGGCTCAGCATCGCGGAGTACCACGCCAGCAACCTGTCCTTCCGCT